GTGTGTGTGTGTGTGTGTGTGTGTGTGTGTGTGTGTGTGTGTTGGCCCCATAGTGGTTTTGGCTGTAGGTTCCACAATTTCTTCCCATTTATCTTCCACTTCACAGCCTACAGCACACATTAGCCTCACAACCCCTGGGAAATCACACACACACACACACACACACACACACACACACACACACACACACACACACCACTGCAATCACATCATTTGTGTGTGGTAACGGGACTGTACCTGTGATTATATGATTGAGTTGGTGCATGCAGCGTGTGTGATTTTAGATTTGTGGCTTATTAAAAATTGTATTTGTGTTAATTAGCATTGTGAAGATATGTCTGATGAAAAGTCAGAACCAAGTGTAAAGCTGAAATCTTCTGCTCTTTATTCAAAGCAAAGATAAACCCCTTGTGTGCAGAGGTTCAGACATACACCACTGCACATCTGAGTCTGACGTTGGACGTGAGCTGCATCAGTAAAGGAATCCATCAGGAACTGAAATAAATACAAATCCTGTTTTAAAAAAGTGTGTGTGTGTGTGTGTGTGTGTGTGTGTGTGTGTGTGTGTGTGTGTGTGTGTGTGTGTGTGTGTGTGTGTGTGTGTGTGTGTGTGTGTGTGTGTGTGTGTGTGTGTGTGTGTGTGTATTAACTTGAATCGATGCTGCAGCAAGCTATTTGGTACACGGGGCAAAATGTGTTAAACGTGTGATTTCTAATAATCCCAAACCATCCATGTTGTGGATGTAGGATTAAATGGCTTGTTGATACAGTACCGATTTATAAGACCTCCTCCCGCTTTGGCCTTGATGATGATGGAATAGCAGCTGTGGTCGGCACAGCCTGACAGATGAATGCAGCCCTGAGCGGACAAATAAGCAACACCGCAGTCCAACTCCTCCTTCGTCTCCTCCTACCCTCACATCCCACAACAGACATCTCAACAGCAGACATTTTAAAGACTACAAGTGCAAAAGAAGTAACTTAGGAGTAAAAACAAAGAGACAGATATCCGTTCTTCCAGAGAAAGCTGGTGCCAGGGCACCATCTGCTCATCCGCTCCGTTTTGGAAGTTGTGGCTTCCAGGGCGGTCAAAGGCGGCAGTGAGATTGAGGGGAGGGGGGGGGGGGGGGGGTCCTTTTGAAGGCTAAGAGTGAGAAAGAGATTTAAGTTTGGACAAAGTGAGTCCTGGCAAGAGTCTACCGGCAGAGTCGAGCGGTAGCAGGAAGCCACCGCCTTGTGTGTGTTGAGATTAATGGTGACTGGTCCATCCACCGACCATCTGGGCAAGTGTGGATAAATCTAACTGGACTAAAAGGGCCAGGAGTTTCAGGAAAAGTGATGCAGACAAGAGACCAAGGCAGGTTTGCTTTTATTAAGTGAAATATTGGTTGGTGTGAAATGATGGGTGAGCAGAGACAAGTCAGATAAAGGAAGTTAAGGAGCGGGTGGAGTAGAAGAAGAAACAAAGTGACAGTTGGTGACGGGAGCAAAACGCTTTTTTTTTCTTTTTCTGTATAATCACCCCCTCACATACACCCACGCTTTGTTTGGTTTGCTGTTGACGCCTCTCAGCTACAGCTGACATCAGAGTCCGACTCTGCTGAAGACAACGGTCCCAGCCATCAGTAGGGACCTATCAAAAGTGAGGGACGGCTGTCTGCTGTGACCACAAGATAGAACTTTGTTTACCTTCATGAGGGGAAAAGTCACTAAAAATGTCTTTGGAAGCCAACAGAACAAACACCAATGCTCTCTGAGCGACTCATTGTTGCTTTTGAGGAAAAACACTTTAAGGTGCAAAGTGTTTCACTAAAAGTACGCAATGTACCTTTCATTAAGTTCCTACTGTGTGTCGAACAACTCAGGACATAGACTGATGCAGAGCTTTTTTTAAGGTTCATTAATACATCACTGACCAAGAAAGCCCCTAGAGGCTGTGAGGAGTCAGTGCAGATGGTGCAGATTCCAGGATTCCCCAGAATATTTCCTGAACACCTCACTCTCACAAGAAAGTCCTAAAAATAAATACAATATTTAATTTAGACTATAGGGTCGATTTGTGATTTTTAAAGTTATTTAAAGTCAAACATAAAACTTGATTAGTAACTAGTAGGGCTGTAACAATATTGCCAATAATGCTACAGCCCTACTACATATTGTCGTAGTAAAATGGCCACAATATCGTCGTGGTCTTGTCACGATATTGTACAGTACATCTTGAGGTAAAAATAACACTTTTCAGTCTGCTCCACAGAAGCATTGCAAAGTATCTACATAGACCATGATCCTTAGCTTCCGCATCATCGGCCAGTTCACCAATGGGAGTGCGTGCCGCCCACACAGCCTGGTATTTTTAGTGCCTGGGTATTTATATTTATTGAATGGGCTGTTCAATAATGCCTTTATTTTGGCTGTCAACTCCGTACCTGTGTTGCCATTTCTGTTATAAATGTGTATGGAGTTGTTAATTGAATTTTGCACTTTATGGCTTTTTAGGCTATTCAAAATATAACAATGATAATAAAGTTAATGAAAACTGTACCAATTACCAGTCTAAATATTTTATGTTGTGAGTCTTATTATTGTGAGCATAGCCACAATATTGCAATAAATATCGTATCGTGAGATGTGGATATACCCCTAGTAACTAGTAATGGGCTCGACACACGGGAGGCGACATCGCCTCTCCTCCATTCATTCTCAATGAGACGTGCACGACAAAGCGATAATCGCGGGTCTCTCTCCTACCAAGCGAAACGCGAAAAACGTGCGTGTGAAATTTTGCGCTCGTGCACGTGTCGTGCATGCACGACCCAGCGACGCAATCCCAGAAAGTTGAAACATTTTCAACTTTTTATCGCTGTCGCTCGGACGAGGACCAATCAACGGAGGTTTCATTCACTGACCAATGAGCGGACAGGATGCTCCGTACATCTCCGAGCAAACATGGCGGAGAAGTTGATTATTATTATGTTTTATATAGTAAAATCAGAAGTAAGATTTCACATAACTCTAGCAGCACCTTGTGAAACATCATATCTACCACTTTATTAACTCTGAACCGCTTAAATAACCTTAATTCCCTCAAACCTGACACAGCCAAACAAAACAACGGAAGTTCTGATTTCGCCATGGAACAGAACGCGTAGACGGCTTTGCCGCTGGCCGCGGGTCGCCTCCCGTGTGTCAGGTAATAAAAGCGACAGTGACAAATTTCGCTGATCGCGGTCGTTGGTCGCCTCGCGTGTGTCGAGCCCATAACAGCGATGTGCTGTTTAAAAAAAATCTAAGATATTATCGATAAAGAATTTGTTAATGTGTGTGATAAAGAAATGTGTCATAGGGTGATAAACGATATAACACCATGAAAGATTTATTTTCTCTAGTGACCACATCATTTCATCAGTAAAGCATCTTTGTGTGATTTCCACTAGTAAATGCACACACCTGCCAGCTGCAGTCACAAATAAAATGCTTTTGTAGCATTCTTGCTATATCATAATAAACATCAAATTGCCTTGAAATATTGTTATATAATTTTGAGGCCACACCTCCACCACTAATTTTATCCCTCGGTTTTGTGACGTTACCGAAAACATATTACCACAAGGTTGCTGTAGTGTCCTTGATGACCTCAATAAACAAACAAATGAAGGGTGATTCACTTTGGTTAGCTACCTGTAAAGGTTACAATTTACTTGTATACAAGAAGGGAAACTCGTAAAAAACAAGGAATTGTAATTAAATATCTTGGTTGAATGTTAACTTGCACAACACAAGTTAACTACAACAATAAACTCCGTTGAATGAAGCATCTAATGGGAAGTCTAAATATGTCACCAGATAAGGTTTAATAACTAATTAACCCCCAGAGACCCAAATTTAGAAAGCAACTGCAAAATCTTTTTTTAACCTTTCACATGTTGTTCTAGGAGGCCAGATAAACAGGCCTATTTACACATTTTAACAGTCAATAGTGTTGCAGAACTGAACAATAGGACCTATTAGCAATGTAAATGTGGTTTTAAAAAGAAAAAATAATGGGGAAGGTATATTTTTGTAGACTTAAATCTGATGCTGTAATATTACAACCGTGGGTCTCTGGGGGTTAAGGACAGATTGATCAAATGTGAGAAGTGTAGGGTGAAGGGCTGCACTCACTCTTGGAGAGTGGGGCGAGTCAAATCCCTCTAAAAACTATTCAAACTAGTTTTTTTATCTCATCAAAACTCATTCACGTGCTTCAGATTCTCAACAACCATCCAGCTGAGTCAGTTCAAAAGGCTGGCTGTCAGTCTCTGACTGAACTGGTAACACAAATGCAGCAACACACCTACAAAAGGTGAGGGCAAGAATCCAATCTCTAGCGTCCAAAAGGAAGTTGGAGATGAGCGCAGGCAGGTCTGATAACGTCCCTTCGCTTAAAAAGAATGTGCATTTCAACTTGTATGAACAGCTTGGAAGGACACAGCATAGATAGAGGGAGAGAGAGAGAGAGAGAGAGAGAGAGAGAGAGAGAGATACCTCCAGGGAGGAAAAGTGATGGTTCAGACATGTGAGAAAGTCAGAGGAGAGTTTAAGCTCATAGTTCGTTTTCTATCGCCGTCCTAAGACAGACTGAAGGATTTGGACCGAGGGAAAAGTGACCTGACTCTCAATGACTCCAAATGTCTATTTAAAGTTTCGCCACTGGTGTAGGCCTCTCATGTCAACTTCTTGGTTTTGTAACTCATCAGGAAAAGGTGAAAAATGTAATTGTTTGAGGCAGTGATCAGATCAGAGGGGCAGATGAAAGCCTCTTGGACCCTGGAGGAGGACAAACGTTGTGAACACCACATCTGTAAAGCTGCCTGGTGAACTGGAGGGAAAAAAGGAGGCAGAGGGGCTCAACTGGTGCTCCAGCAGCTGCCTCCCTCCACTGAGACGCGGCTCGGATGAGGCTGCATCCACACGTCACATAGCACATAGTGTCACTATTTACTGAAGAAGAGGAAACTTACCAGGATCCCAGCAAACTGCTTCTCTGCCATCCTTCAGGACCAACGATCCTCTGCCTCTCTGCTGCCTTCTCGCTCGGTCTGGAATGGACTGGTGTGCCTCTCTCACTTATCAGAGTCGGATGTTTCTCTTGGTGGAGGTGCCTGAGGGTCGGTCGAATGGCTTCACCCCGTCCCTCTGTCTCAGTCCCCCCTCACGTCTGTGTCGTTTACAAGTGTAGCTGGAGTGGCGTCGCTGCTTTGTGTAAATTCTGCCCTAATCCAGAAACTTTTCTAAGCTGTGAAAAGAACACGTGACAGGCAGAGAAGGGGGGGTGGGGGGGGTGGGGGGGCAAGGCAAAACTTTTTTAGTTACTCGTCCTCTTGGCTATTATCAAATTAGTTTTATACATCACCTGTCATAGCAAAATAAACTCAAATCAAACACACCATTTTATGTCAGGTAAATTAAAAGTTGGGAAAAAGATGACGTGAAATGAGTTTAAGTGGCTACAAAGAATGTCAAAAGAACAAGTAGTAAGATATTTGCATACTGTAGTCAAGCAGCTGCCGCAACAAAGTGGCCTTTTGTTGCAGAGATTAACTGTTAGGGAAACGTTCAGCCGGCTCATTGCTGTATGACGGCCAAACTGGGCAAAGAACACTGTGAAATATTCACGGTAAAGACAAACCTTTGGAAAGACGTTCTATTTCTATAAGCTGCTTTTTTAGATATCAGAAATAAAAGTGCATGAGGCGGTAATGAATACTAACCATCATGGACTTTAAAATAAGGAATTAATTTCAGTTCCACTAAAATAAGTCATTAACCTTTTGTTTTATATACCGTTTAAAAATAATTAGAAATAGTCGGACATTCCAAAATGAAATTATTATTTATGTATTTCTTTTTTTTTAAGTATTTTTGTCATTTTTTTATCCACCAAAATATATTAATCACTCATGAAGTACGTTGATAACAAACAAGTTAATATTATGAATATATTTAAAGTAGCCTCATCGCTCACATTTCTAATTCTTTGCGTCCTCAGTTTACGGCGGTATTGGGAAATGCACGTTCCCGCGACGGGGCAGGCACGCAGCACCACAGCCGGCAGGCTCACTTTTCTCTGCACAACACACTTGTAATTACCGTGGCTAAGATGGTCCAGGAGACAGCAAAACCTGACATTTTGCTGTTCGTCTGCAACTTTTTTAGTGCGTCTTTCAGCATCGGCTGGCTCCATGTTTTTGTCCAAGTTGCTGTAGCAAACTGGAAGTATTAGTGGACTTAATGGTGACAGCTTAGGATTAGGGTTTGGTTGTGACATCCCCTGAAGGGAAAAGCAAAAAGAGAAAGGTGATTGTTTTAAAGGTAGCCTATCATATGGCTTTGCCTTTCCAACACACAAAATGCCCAGTATAATAGCTTTTGCAAGCCTTTGCTGTCTAGTTTAAAATACGTCCTGAGGCCACACATTAGATCTGCATTAGCCTGCTAGCATGCTATGGTGTCGGAATCCCCACCTGCTGTATTGTGTGACGTTACGGTGTTGACGTCCAAGATATTGATGTAAATGGACTTGTTGAAATTAAAATGAAGCCATTATTATTCTGTTTGAAAATTTCTATCTCAATATGAATTTCAAAAGTCATGTTTGGTATTTTAAAATGTTAAATCCAATCTTTTCCACCCGCTTTCTGATCATCATCTCTAATGATGGCATTAGATCGTGTCGGATTTGAACGGAAACATGATGTGCCAAAGCCAAGCGACTGTATCATCTGTAGGAGAGAATAAAAACAAAGCAGATTTCCTCCTGGAAATGTGACGACACACTAAGCTTGATCACTGCTGTGAAACACATAACAGTATGGGTTAGAATGTAACTCTAATAAACTTGCTGTCCAGATTGCTTATTTCATCTGATGGCACCACCTAGTGGCTGACAAGCATATGACAGAAGTTATTACCCCTACTGCACACCGGAAGCATCAGCGGCACAGAAGCAGCAGGCAGGTTTTCTGTCGAATTTGCGAGATCACAAAATCCCTTGACACTTCCACCATCTTCCTTGCTTAAGTCGCGAGATCTCAAAATTTTGATATCGCTGTTTAATGTCATAAATGATGTTGTAAGTGGTTGCAGTAACCAAATTTTCCCACAGGATGTCATTTTACTTCATTTCTACATAATGCACCTTTAACACTGGACCATCTGTGGAAAAAAAAGTACAAATTGATTCAAATCTGTATTTTTTGTGTTTGTTTTTGGGCTGCTTTTCATACAGAACTGCTTCTGACATACTGCCATGTGAAAATTTGCATGTGTAATGCTCGATAAAAAGCTCAGGCTGAAGGGGTGGGGGTTAGCAAAAAAGATTCAAAGAACTCAAGTCAAGGACAGAAAAATAAAGTGAATGATGGCATACACTACACGTCAGTTTGATAATGAATAATCATCAGCCAGGCAGTGGCCATGCATGGAGACACTCTGCATTCAAACACAGGCATGATAAGCAGATGCACCTCATTAACAACACAGACAGAGGTGAACTGTTGCAGAGAACTGTGAGATGCACTAAAAAACAACAACAACAAACGGATAATATCAAATGTGGAGCTTTTTACTAATTAAAATAGAAGACGAGCTAGAATTACAAAGAAGAAGAAGAAACTGATCAGATGGTCTAAACATCAATAGAGGACTTTAGCTTTTAACCTCAACAGACATTTTGTTGAAAACTTGGCAGCATTGTACTCAGATGGATATTTGAACACCTAAAGTCCCTTCTTCTCCAAGCAACCACTATTGACTCCAGCAGGACAATGCACCTTGTGAGCAGACGAGCTCACATCACTCCAGTTTTACAGTCCCTCCACTGGCTCCCGGTAGAATTTAGAATACAGTTTAAAGTTTTAGTGCTGACCTATAGAGCTCTTAACAACCAGGCCCCAAGCTACTTATCTGAGCTTTTATCCCCACACACCACTTCACGGAACCTCCGATCCACATCTGAAAACCTCCTGGCTGTTCCTCGAACCAGACTAAAAACAAAAGGGGACAGGGCCTTTCAGTCTATTGCCCCCAGACTTTGGAACAGTCTGCCTTCAAATCTCCGTCTCTTGAAATCTGTAGAGGTCTTCAAAAAACATCTTAAAACTCAACTTTTCATCCAGGCTTTCCCCCGCTAAATATTCTAAAAGATGGCTTTGTTCTTGTTCACACCTTGACTTTGTTTTTACTCCTGATTTTGGTTACTATCGTGGTCACTGTTATTGTTTTTATGATGTTTTTATTGGTTTGAGGTATTTGCCCTGATTGTACTCATGTTGTACAGCGTTTTGTGATTTATATCTGTGAAAGGCACTATATAAATAAACTTTACTTACTTACTTACTATTATGAAAAACAAAGCCAAGAAGCAACTTCAGGTGAATGACAAACTGAGCTTTCATAGAATGTGCAAGAAAAAGCCATGATCCCACCCCATAAGGTGGAATCATGGCTTGTGTTCCACACATTTACCACCTCCCATGAGATTAAAAGTGAAAAATGTGACAAACGTTCAGAGTGAAGAAAAACGATTTACCAGCTCAAAGATTTGTCTTTTGGAGGCTGAGTCAGCTTGTCTTTAGCATGTCTTGTTTAATCTGATGTTATCACCGACTGAATGTAAATGAATAAAAATAAAAAGCATCCCAACTAAAGCAGAAAAAAGTTGCCAAATATAGCCACCATTCAGGCTCACACACATCCAACCGCGCACATCCCAAGACTACAAATACAGGAGCCCACAGGGACACTAAAGTGCCCTGGGACACGCATCATCCACAGCACGCTGCACACCGATGAAAGGATGACAAAACCAAACTAGGTTCAGACTTACCATTCACAATGTGATGCTGCAGTAGAAGTACAAAGCAAACGGAGAACAGCAGCTCAGACATCAGGAGAGGACGTCAGATCGAAAATTCTAACTGAAAGTAACTCCATCCCAGTGGGTGAATTCACTAATGATGAGTTGGGTAATCCTGGGAGGGGTGGAAACCCAGACTTGCGTCACACTCACTTATACCAAATGTATTTTTACGTTCTTGGAGATACATTCAGTTGCAGAGTACAATTTATTGAGATATAATGTTACGCTAGATAGCAGCTGATCATTGACCGTGCATGTGTGAAGACACAATGCAAATGCTATGCAGAAAGGCCACAACCGGTGTTTGTACCTGCAACCTCCATAATGCAAAGCAACAGGGCTACCAACTGTACCAGCCATGCAGACCAGTCTGCATGGTGCATGATTGGTGCAAGTGTTCAAGGAAATTCAATGCCTTCAACTTAAAGGGGCATTATGGAAGTTTGACAGCCAAAACATGTATAGAAATAATACATTACTTCTTCATACATTCTCCTGCAATGCCCTGGTCCTGTAGAATGAGCCCTGGCATTTTTACTGTGATTGTCTGTTTTTCTGTAAAATCACAGAAAAAGAGAGATGCTCGGGTCGAGCAGGCTGCTTCATGCGCGTTCACCCTCAGGCGTAGCCCGTAGCATTTGCTATTCATAGCTTTAGAAGCAGAGAGTGAGACAGTGCCACTTTGTCGCTGTTCCTAACGCCTAGTGACAAAGCTAGCTACATTTCTGAGGACCCTTAGCTACTTTCTGTATAACTTTCTTCTAGATATTTCCTGCAAATTAGAAACAAAATAGCCATTTTCGCTCCGAACCGTTCTTTGGATGTTGTTTCAGCTGTCATCAAGGATATAAATATTACAGACCTGGGTTCGGTTCTGGATGTGAACATAGTTTATTTAAAGTTTCTTTTTTACATTAATGGTATATTTTTTTTTTACAGTAAGATGGCCAAATTTTTTTTGACACTCGCCAAACTGCACTGAATTCTCAGATAAAACAGATGTGGGTTCAACTTTCATTTTGAAACAATTTTTCAAGCAAGGGAAGGGAATGATCTGAGCATGCAGGAGGACTGACCCATCATAAACCTTTGTCGGCTGTGCTGAAGAGAAAGGTACAGAACCAAATTATTTAATTTATTAGCTGCACGTTCTCCTGTCCTCTGTCCTCCGCCCCCCCCCCCCCCCCCCCCCGCCCCCCCCCCCCCCCCCCTTATTTTCATTAAGGAGTGTGCACGTACAGCATGCGCGCCTCGTGCATGAGCCTACTATTGAAGCTGCCGTTACGCTTTTGGCCTGAGGGGGCAATTGCGAGCTTAAAATTCAAAACTCCGTAAAGTCCCTTTAATGACCAGAAAAAGGCAAATTGATGAAGGTTCATACCTAACTTAGCAACATGATAGAAATTACATAGTACATTTTGTGTCTTTGCCGACATTTTCTATTCTGTTCTTATCTGGTGTTTTTCATTGGCATGAGAAAGTTGCTACAAAGATACCCTAGCAAAGGATATCATTCAACCACAACCTTTCATTCCACTCTTGTTTCATAAAAACACAGAGAATCAGGCACGATTCCTGTAGATGAAAGAATGAGACCTCTAAAGCCCTCTCACCAAAGTTAGTGAAATCAAAAACAAAATAAAAAATAAAAACATGATAGGCTGCCATAGAAAAATATGAAAAAAAAAAACATCAAAAGGAAAGTAAAAAAATACCCTAAGATAAAGATGCATGAGTGGACTCATATGTCACCTCTCTGCTATTGAGTCGATGCTCTAATAATTGGATCATTATTAACCTGGTTAAGGATTTGGTAAATCCCTCACAATGAGCTAATTTGCTTACCATTTTTAGCTTTAAATTGAAAACCCTATTATCCTAATGTTGGACTGCACCAATAGAATACTCCAGGATAACATAAAGATGCAATTAAAACCCAATTTATTTATATCTACTGCCCAGCCCAAACAAAAGCAGTCACCTGAATAGGTACGAACCACCTATTGGATAATTACTGCATGGACAATTATATTTTAGCAGGCAAGTTATTTAACCTGAACCAGTGAGTTGCTTCTCATTTCTTAAACAACCAAGTGGAAAGACACATCTGGTGGTCGAGAAGAGTCAGATCAATGTCATGCATCAAGTAGAGAAAACATCTTAAGAGATCGCAGAAACGACTAAAATTGGGTTAAGAACGGTCCAACGTGCTACTGAAAACTGGTCTTGACCCTGTTCCAGAGTAATGAATGCATCAGGGTAAGAAGAGAGGCAAGTGATGCACCCATCATTAGGTCAGCTGACTACCTGAATATACTGAATGACCAGGTTATTTCATCTTCCCTGATGGCACGGGTATATTCCAAGATGGCAAGGCCAGGATTCATGGTGCTCAAATAAAGAAAGAGTGGTTCAGGGAGCATGAGACATCATTTTCACACATGGATTGGCCACCACAGAGTCTGGACCTTAACCCCATTGAAAATCTTTGGGATGTTCTGGAGAAGGCTTTGTGCAGCTGTCAGACTACCATCATCAGTGCAAGATCTTGTTGAAGAAGTAATGCAACGCTGGATAGAAAAAGGTCTGGTGACATTGCAGAAGCTTATTGAAACAACGTCACAGAGTGTGTGCTGTTATCAAAGCTTAAGGTGGTCTAGCGAAATATTAAGAGTCAGTGTGTGACATTTTTTGGGGTGTAAACTTTCATTTTGGCCAGGATTTATGTTCTGGGGCTGTGGCATAAACAGTATGACCCAATACACCAAAAACTGAGTCTAAAGATTTAAAGGACTAGAGGTTGACTTATACGGGTGTTTCTGCAGCTTGTGCCCATCCATAGAAATCGGAGCAGGAGAGGAATAATTAGGGATGTCCTGACCCGATCACATGATCGGAAATCGGCCCCGATCACGTGGTTTCAGACTGATCGGGACTCGGGCTTTACTTCCCGATCCAAGCCACGATCCGGAGTTGCATATTGGGTTCAAATTAAAGAAGAGCAACTTGGTTCTCCTTAAAGGTTGTCAGGCTCCCCTGATGCCCTTGACTTACACACCCAGAAGGAGCACAAAAGAGATCCATTTTCCCCTTTATTATGTTATTTACATGGACTCAGAGTAGCGGGGATTCCTTTGAGCAGAGATGCAGAGAGCGGCAGGCAGACCGCTGATTATTCATGAACTCCAGCTGCGTTCTGCACACGGCCACAGTAACATTTTCTAAGTTTCTATGTGGCGTCACCAAAAATATATAATTAACGCAGTCGTTCATGTCCATTCATTTTCTCTCTGGTAAGTTCTGTCTGTATTTGAGCATGACGTGTGGACGTGCTCGCGCTGCAGCGCTGGTCACTGGCGCAGCTGGGCAGCGTGGCGCACACTCCGCTTTTTTTGCAGTCAATAGATCAATTTGATCTGCTGGTTTAAAAGTTACTAGTGAGGTGAAAAAGAAGGAGGCAGGCAGGAGTTTTTTCTGGAGGACTGGGAGATGCAGGAAGATCAGAGACAGACGAGACAGGAAGATAGGAAAATAAAAACCAAGAAAACAAAACAAAGTTCTTAACAAAATAAAATGTAAGTAGATTTATCCCATTACACGTTTGTACCCGTATAAAGCAATTTATCAGCATGTAGTATTTATATAGTTGGTACAATTCAGATCATCTTCAAAACTCCGTCCCATGCCCAGGGACGTATCTAAGCATTTTGGGGGCCGAGGCAAAATAGACCCCTGCCAGGTATTTTAAGTTGAAGTGCTATCTGTTTTTATATTAGACTTTTTATATTTGCAACAAAGTCCAAAAGTGAAGAATTTATGTTATTTAGTACTTGATTGTTCAGGCTACCTCACAGAAGTGATCTGTTGTTAAAAATTCAAATAAAAAGGTAATTAAATAAAAAATAAGGAACATTCTGGAACTGTTTCTTCCTTTTCTTTCTTCCTTTTTTTGATGTATCGAAAGTATCGGATCGGGACTCGGTATCGGCAGATTCTTAAAATCAAATGACTCAGACTTGGGGGCAAAAAAAACCTGATCGGGACTTCCCTATGAATAATGTAAGTAAAATGCAGTTCCTTGTATATTTGAGGTAAAGAGGGATGATTTTTTTAACCACAAAATGGAATGTGACAAAGCTGCAACGGCAAATCTGCAAAGCAAGCTAAGTCACGCAGCTCTCGCTCCTCTCGCCGGCTATCATCCCTAGGCCACGACTCCCTGATATGCAAATTGTGTTTCATTGTCAAATTCATGGCAGAAGTGAGAGGGGAGACAAAGATGAGAACTGCCTCCGCTCTCACCGAGCTGCCCCACAAACACTGACTGAAACAGGAAGTTGGTGCATGCTCACTGGCCCCAATCAGTAAACCTTAACTTGATCTTTGAGGGTGAAAGAGGCGGTAATCCAAAAAGGTTATGCATCAAAAAAATATCTGAAGATTTCAGCGTTACAGCCACAAAATGTTGACACAGAATTGAGTTTGAGAACTGTGAGTATGAAGGAAAAAACTGAATAGTGGCGATGAGCTTTGCTGGTATTTTAAAGGTCTGTGGCAAACTTGTTTGTTTCTGTCTGAGATAACAGACAACACACTGGGCTGAAGACAAATAAACAACCATTATTACAAGCCATGTTCATAATGCGGTATATTGTTGGACTTGCAAAGCAGCTGTGTCTATTATCAGTATGTGGCAGCTTGGTTGGGAATCCACAGTTTGTGTTTTGTTGTGATAGGCCGTTATTTTTGCACTCGTGCATATATATATATGTATATATATATAAGTAAATGCAGCTGAGAAATTGTCACAGCACTCGAAGCAGCCCAAACTAAGCCTAGGTCTTTGTTCAGAGCCAGTTCAATGGAGTGCAATTTACTTTGGACAGCTAAAAATGGATTTCAATTTTGGAATGGAATTGGGAA